CAATATAAAATAATATACTAATAATAATAATAAAATAATACTAAAAATAACTAATAATAAAATAAAATAAAATAATCGTTCTATAACATTTCTGTCCCTTTATAAAATTTGTTCCACAAATTTCAACTTGCAACCGTTGAGGAGTCGATGATAATTACCATCAGTTAGCTTGATGAGCTGTGTTGCTATTAGTGGCTGTAACTAAGAAATAACTTCCTTTGGGCAGATTCTGAAAAGTTCTTAAGTTCGATAGGCACCATGCCAAGTGTCTTTGGCTTTTCTTATGCCTTGTTTTCTTTCGATAAAATCTTTTATCATAGCTGGGTCTGCATGTTGGTCAAGAAGTTTTCTGAGATAGTAATATGTCTGGATCTTTTGGTTAAGGTCTTTTTTAGTTCAGCCTTGAGTAGCAAGTTGAGTCAACATCTTGTCTACTTGGGTTTTCCAAGTTTCATCAATAAACGGGTTGGTTAGGCTTTTAGTTATTGGCTGAATAGTTCGAGATATATCAGTTAGAAGGATAGTTATAGAGTCTTCTAAGTTTCCAATTTCTGTTTCTACAGTCGAATTAAGATCAGTAGTATCTTCTATTTCTGATTCTAAGGTTGGAATAGGATTGGTAGTGTTTTCTATTTCTTCTGGTAATAGAAAGTCATTAAGATTTACTTCTATTGATTGGTCAAGAAGCAGTATTAAATCAAAGTTTCTGGTGGCATCCAGAGGGTCCCATAGTAATACATTATGTGATGCAATATTCAAATTGTATTGGGAGGCAGGATTTTGTTTCCATTTTAGGAGAAAGTTATTTAAAGCGATGAGGGTTTCTGGTTGTGGGATAGGTAATTCCATTTCGGGTGAAAATGCCTGTTTCTAAGTCTATATATATATCTTTTTAACAGTATAATTGTCTGTTTTACAAATTTTATGTTGTTTCTCCCCTTCCAATTAAATTTCTTCTAGAAATTACTGATTTTCAATCACTATGATTGGTTTCTATATCTGTTTTTCATAATACTTTGCAAGTCTATCACTATTATAATATTTTTGTAGTACTTGTCCTTCATTATTTCGTAGTTTATAGGCACCATTGTTCAACTTTTCTTGTATAATGAATGGTCCAAATCTTTTATCTTCAAATTTGGCTGATCTGGATTTTTCTATTTCTTTTCTTTGTATCCAAACTTTATCACCAATTCTGTATTCTTCTGGTCTAATTTTATTGTTAAAATATTCTTTCTGTTTCTGTTGTGATCTTTCCGTATTCAATCGAGCATCATTTTGCGAGTATGGCATTCTGTTTATTAGCTCATAGGCTCGTTGTAATATACTGTCTTGTAAATCTATTTCTTTATCTGCATCTGGGCTAGGCTCAATAGGAATAATAGTTTCTATAGGCAGAATTGCTTGTTTTTTATAAACTAAGTGGAAAGGTGTATATCCTGTAGTAGCATGTCTTTTGGTCTGATATGCTAATAGAACAGCAGGAATATGTAAATTCCAATCATCAGTTTCTTTTACTTTCACAAGTGATTCACATAGTGTTCTGTTGAGTCTTTCAACCATTCCATTTGTCTGAGAATGGTATGAAGATAAAAACTTATGTTTGATTAAAAACTTTTCACACAAAATGTAAATAGTTTCACTGATAAAGTTTCAGCCTTGGTCTGATAAAATTATCTTTGGTGTCCCATGTCTACATACAATTTCTTCGAATATAAACTTGGCTAATGTTTCAGCTCCAGCATCTGGTACAGCTCAGGCTTCTGGCAACAATAATATATTGGTTATTCTGTTGGGTTATAGATAAGGGTCCAACAAGGTCAATTCCTATACGTTCAAAAGCTCGTCCAACTTGAATCGGGTGTAAAGGTTCTTTCCTTCATCCTTTCTGTCTTTTCTGGCATTCTTTACATGTCTTTATATATTCTTTTATATCTCTATACATTTGGTCCCAGTAATATCATTCAGCTATTTTATAATACATAG